CCCTACTGTCCCTACTGTCTTTTCCACTTTACCAAATTCTAGTTCCTTTTTCCTTTTGAACAATTTCTTCTCATTTCACTATATCTGTTGTACATTTTAGATTTTATTTACTCTTTCATTTTCTCACACTAGGGAGACAATATGATGTTTAGATGCATGAGTCTGATTTATTTCACTTACGAGTATTGTCTCAAGTTGCATCTATTTACCTATAAGACTCTCAAGGTTACCCTTTGCTATGGCTGAATAGTAATTGTATAAAAATACCACATTTTAAAAATCCGTTTCTGGGTTGATGGGCATTTGAGTTCTTTCCAAGATTTTGCTATTACAAAGTATGCTGCTATAAACATGGGTGTACATATATTGCTGTGGTATGATGTTTTTAATTCTTCTGGAAAGATACCCAGAAGGAGAATAACTAAGTGAAATGGGATCTCTAATCCTAGTTTTCTGAGAAATCTCCACACTGATTTCCACAGTGGTTGTACCAGACTACATGCCCACCAATAGTGGAGAAGGGTTCCTTTCCCCCCCAGAACTCCTCCAGCATTAGTTATTCATTGATTTCTTAATGATAGCCATTCTTTCTTGGGTCGGAGGGAATTTCAGTGTTGTTTTAATTTACATCTCTCCGATGACCAATGATGTTGAACATTTTTCATATATATATTTGCCATTTGTATTTTTTCATCTGAAAAGTGTATATTCATCTCAGATCCCCATTTTTTTGATTGGGTCTTTGAATTTGGAGGGTCTGATGCTTTTCAGTTCTTTATATGTTCTAGATAGGAGACCTTTGTCAGAAAGACAAGTGGCTAATTTTTTTTCCAACTCTGTGGGTTGTCTTCACTTTGTTGGTGATTTCTTTTTTTTTTTTTTCTTTCTTATTTTTTGGTACCAGGAATCAAACTCAGGACCTTATGCTTGCCAGGCAGGCACTTGTGCTACTGAGCCTGGCCCATGGTGATTTATTTTGGTGTGAAAAACTTTAATATGATGAGATTCCAGTTGATGATACTTTGAAGTATTTCCCATGTAGTCTGGGTTTTTTTCCTGAACTCCCTTCCTATCCCTATACCTTCAAGATTTCTACATACTTTCTCTTCCAGTAGATTTAGTGTTTCTGTTTTAATATTTAGGTCTTTGATCCATTTTGACTTTAGTTTAGTTCATGGTGGTAGACATGGGTCTAGTTTTAGTCTTCAGCATGTAGAAAGCCAGTTTTTCCAGTATCATTATTAAAGAGGCTATCTTTCTTCCAATGAACATATTTGTCCCCTCTGTCAAAGATAAGGTGGTTGAGTGGGGTTGTAGTTGGGTCAGCATCTTCTAATCTGTTCCATTGTCCTTAGGACTGTCTTTTTGGCCTGTACTGTGCTGATTTTATCACAATAGTTTTGTAGCATAATTTAAAGTCAGGGATTGTGATGCCTCTTGCCTCGCCTTTGTTGCTCAGGATTGCCTTTGCTACTGTAGATCTCTTGTGGTTCCAGATGAATTTTAGGAATGGTTTCTCTATAACTGTGAGGTATGCTAATGGTATTTTGATGGGATTGCATTAAATATGTGTAACAATTTTGGGAGTATGGCCATTTTCACTATATTGGTTCTTTGTATTAATGAGTAAGGGATATCTTTTCATTTTCTGATATCTTCTTCAATCTCCTTTTCCAGAGTACTGTAATTTTCAATATATACATCTTTTATTTGCTTTGTTAGAATGATTTCTATGTATTTCATTTTTTTGGATACTCTTGGTAAGTGTGTGGTTTCCCTAATTTGTCTCCCAGTGTTTGTCACTTGTGTACAGGAATACTATTGATTTTTGAGTGCTGACTTTGTATTCAGCTACAAAGTTGAATTCAGTTATTAATTGTAGCAGTCTTTTGGTGAAGCTTTGGGGATCTTATTTGTAGCATGTATGTCATCTACAGATAATGATAATTTACTTCTTTCTTTCCTATCCTTATTTCTTTTATTTCTTTCTCTTTTCTAATTGCTATGGCTAGGATTTCCAGAACAGTATTGAATCAGAGTGGTGATAGTGGACATCTTGTCTGGTTCCTCATTTTAGAGTGAAAGTTTTCAGTTTTTTGTCCATTGATTATGAAATAATCACTGTGAAATATTTACTTCTTCAGGATTTTGTAAGTTTTTAATAATTTGATTCATTAATTAGATACTACCATTTTGGTCCTGGGGATGGAACACAAGTTCTTCACAATGAGCTACACTCTCATATTTTTATCCTTTCTCTTTTTTCTTTTTGTTTTCTTCTTTTTTTAGACAGAGAATCTGGATAAGACAATATGTTACCCAGAGCTCAAAATTTTGATCCTTCTGCCTGAGTTTCCCAGAGTGGTGAGATTACAAAGATGAGCCACCACACTCAGCAGATACTATTAGTTTTGAAAGAATTCATGGTCCTATTTATTATCATTTTCTAATTTTTTTCTTTATTTGTTTAAATAGCTCTTTAAATATTGATACATTTTAACTCAGAGACTATTTTTTTGAGATTAGTATTGTTCCATAAGCTTTTATCTGGTTGTTGTTGTTTTAGAATTTACCTTCATTTTTATGAGCTAATTAAATGATTTAATTAAGCTAATTAAATGATTAAATGTGGTAACTTGATTAGATGAAATTTAGCTATCTCTTACCTTTAAAAAGTGTTCAGAGTTTAGTAGTTTGGACAGTAGCATTCATATGATAACATTAGTGTTCTCTCACTAACCAAGAAAGAAAAAACTGCTATCAGAAATCCCTAGACACATCAGCAGAATTCAGGCTTCTAAAATAGCCTCTTATCTATCCTACCCACCCCACCAAGATAGTCTCAGAATAAATTAAACAGTTTCAGTACTTGCATCAGTAGCGCTGGCAGTTTTTCCATGCCTGGCTCCCAAGGTATGTGGTGGATCATAGCACCTGGGTGTTAGAAGTTTTTCCCAGCAGCCTCTCCAATAGCTTTACACAGAGCACCAGGCAAGACAACTGTCTGTGAGGCACTTTCCCCAGACTCAGATGGAATATTTCAGCCCAGCCTCTCCTGTGGGCTTCTGGACATTTCTGATTTTTCAGATCTGAAAACCATGGCTGTATTATTTTCAGTGAGGTCTTCTCAGCCTTGGCTGGAGAGAGAAAAATGTGCAAGTGCGCGTGTGTGTGCACGTGCGCGTGCGCAGGATCCTTTTTTATGCCAAATAATAGTCTTAGTTAAATTATTTCTGCTGTTTCTATATTCTGTAGAATCATCTTTACTTATTTCTAATGAATCTTCATTATTCCACCCTATTACATTTAGTAATTTTTATGTTAAATACTTCCCAGTGAAGTTCCTATGTGGTTTGTATCTTGATTAAATACTATTGACAGACACTGAGATATGTTTTAATTACATTTTCAGTGAATATGTGGAGGGAAATAATAATGGTCTAATGAAAATTGTGTGTTAAACAAATACAGGAACATTATTTCTAATTGTGAGATGTAGGCACTTTTACACTAGTACCAATATTTACTGTAGCTTTGTATTAGAATTATTAACCAACTCAGGAGACTTTTTATGAGAAGACATTTTTAAAAAGTGAAAAGTTGAATGAGAATGACAAAACAGATTAGGTATAATACACATAATTTGCAAAGAAGTCATGAATTTACCAATTAGAATTGGTAGGTTTAGCAACATTATGAAATATCATATTAAGGTAAAACTATTCAGCCATAAAGTTTATTTAGGATATGATATTTGTAGCTGTACTTCTTTCACAGTAGCAAGACAAACTAGAAGAGGTCTGAAAATAAGTTTTAACATCATATTTCATTGTAATATTTATTAAATTATGTTAAAGAACATAAAAGAAGATCTGACTAAGTGTAGATAATGTCCTTGTTCTTGAACTGACAGAATCAATTCCCCAAATCATAGGGCTAATACAATTTTAATGAAAATCACAGCAGATTTCAGAAATATCTATACAGTTCTTAAACATTTTCAGTAAATAATGAACAGTGAAATTTAAGATGCAGCCAGGAGAGAAGCCTTTGTAACCAATTTCTAAGCATGAGAGATACATTTGAGATATATTATGGCTAAGATATATTATGGCTGTGTGTGAAAGGAGAGGATGGAATCCCCAAAATCCTCAGTGACTCATTTTATTTTGGATATGAGAAAATAACAATTCATGCGTCACTGATACTTAAAATCTTTTCACATAAAGGAAAGTGCTTGGTGGTTTTTGGCAGTGATGTGTGTATTTCTTGTTTATGAGTTATAGACAACAAAGTGTGGTTTTTAAGAATTCCTACAAAACTAGGAAAATTTTGAACAAGAAACCTATAGATCTGTTTCTTTAAATCTTTCTACATGAATCTAATATTTTTGTCAAATAAATCCTTGATGCTAATGAACACTTATGATCAGGTCTTTAAGGTTGAGATTCATGGGTCAGTTTGCATATGTCTGCATGTTCAATATATATCAGGCTTTAGAATTTTACTAGCTAATATCTAAACTTGATGAAGCCAAATCATGTTAGATAAGCAAAACTCTGCAAAACAGTGGAAGAGAATATCCCTTCATTTGCATGCTAGCAAAGGAGTATTCAGCTTTCAACCCAGCATCTGTGAAAGATTCCAGTTTGGTAAAGACTTATAGATATGAATTGGGTTTATTTTGAACATTTCTAGGAACAACTATTTTCTCTAAGAATATCCTTTAATTGATCTTTTAGTATACTGTGTTGCTTTCCTGCATGATATTGTTCACAAAATGTAATAGAAAGAAATTTACTATACATAGAGAAAACAGGTGTTGGTAGAACTCTGGGTCAGGAGATCAAGAAACAATGCCAAGGGGTATCATATTTTCTACACTTAACTAACGTCATTTCTATATAAGCAATGAAATATTGGTTTTGGAAGTCTTGCCACATTCTTCTGTAGCACTGGTGAACCCCATTGACTGAATCAGAGACAAAATATGCCCCCAGATGATCAAATTCTTACCACAGTAGTCATCTTCTGGGTTGTTTTCCTTTAGGGAGGTTAATACACTGATATTCAATGATGATTTATCCAATTTCACAGAGTGAATGAATAATAATTATTCTCTTTGTTTGGACAGTGACCAACTATTTTGGCTCTTGGTTGACTATTTATCTGAGATATTTTATTTGCAACATAGTCAATTTGCCCAACTTGGTTTTTCTTTAGCTAAAGAGGAGAGATCAAAGTGTCATTAGACTGACACCACTGGAGTTTTAGTCATTCTTTTCATCTTTGCATGTTTCCCATAAATGAGACCAAATAGGGTTGAGAATATGAACAAAGTGTGACTGCAAAGACCAAATGGAGGTCCTCCAATATGATTGTATTCACTCCAGTGAATCATGACTCCATTCTTAATTACATCAATGAGCTGTTTTCTAATGTTACTCTGCTCCCTCTGTGCACATCTCAGGAAGATGCTGCCCCGTGGCAAATGAACGCAAGATCTCAGCCCCAAGGTTCATGTAAGGCCTTGTGAACTGTGGGTCTCCTACTTGCTGTTAGCCATGCACTCATTGTCTGTAAGCATATCACATTGCATTCCAGTCAGCTCCTGAGTACATTGACCACATGCCATAGGTGTAATGGCCAGTGTGTTTCTAAAAATTTTGACAAGTCTTCACAGCCCTGGTGAGTTGACTGGCTCAAGAGACAAAAATAACCCCCCAACTGATTCAAGTCTTACTGTCTTTGTTCTCTCCATTGCTGGTTTGGTTTAATGCTCTGCTCTTGTTATTTTCTTAGACACAGGGAACTACTCTCTGGAGGGGATGGATGACCTTGCTATAGTTCTGTAGAGGTTTGGCATCCCCTTTTTATGTGTTCTCAGTGTACCCTGTTACCTAAGCTTGTTTTTAACTCCATGCATTCTGTCAGTCACTAAAATGTGTTTTACAAAGAGAAAGATTTTATTACAAGGCAGATGAGCATCTGGAGATGGAAGACCCTGTTCTGCCATCTGTCTCCTTGTGGATAAGCTTCAGATGTACTCATGGAATAAGGAAGTAGGGGTGTCTAAATTATTGGATACTTGGAAGTAAGGAGGAGTGATGCAATCAGTGGTATATGCATGTGTCTAGCTTTGTATCTGCACAAGCATCTGCTTAATAATAGAGCAGCTTGGGCTGCAGCCTGCACCAGCTTAGTGACCTCTCTTGCTCTGAGGTCCACTGGAAACCAGTAGCCTTTAGGGAAACTTCATAAATGGGTCAGATCTCTATAACTAAATGTCGCATATGTTGGTTCCAAAATCTAAAGAGACCAAAAGACATTGTTGAACATTTTGTGATAGAAAATATAGCATATGAAAACATCTCATTTGCTTTAGGATGGATGTTTGTACGTGTAGTTCAGATTATTGTACATCACTCACAGTATTAGTCCTTGAACATTTTTACATATATGAGTCTTATGTTAATCTGTTTCTCAGGATTTATTTTTTATTATTTTGTTATATAAGAATTTTGCCACTTTATGCTTACAAATATAAATTAATATATATCTAACATTTTGTAGTAACATGATATTTTTGGAAAATGTGGGTTAAACTGAGAACAGAGTTGTCCTACTTACTTTTATCATCACTGAGGAAAATACCCAACAACCACAAATTAAGGGAGGAAAGATTTATTTATCTCATAGTTTGCAGATGTTTGAGTACACAATTGGCTGGCTTCAAGTCAGAGTTTATGTGAGGGGGACAACAATTCATTGTGGAGGACAATAGCAAAAGCAACAAAGGCAGAGAGAAGGCAAGCCTCCTTCTGCCCCTTTTATCTTATACAGGCTGCTGGGATTAGGGTGGTGCCAATTCAATCAGTGGGCTGATCCAGATATCACTCACAATTAATATCAGCATTCTTAATCTCGGCATTGTACCATGCAACAATCACAAACTCTAGATTCAGCTACATTCAAACAAGCCCCATCTAAAAGTGCACGAGGCTTTGGGGGACCTCTATGTACAAGGCATAACAAGATCAAAGTGTATAGCTCATCTATAGTGTGTGTCTAGCATGAGCTAGGGCCTGGGATCAAGCATAAAGGGCATTTTCAGGAGATGCCTCTTATGTGAGATGAGACCTGTGATATCTCAATCTTCCTTCTTTTCCAAGATACCATCTTATCTGATTTTCCTACTTTGCCTTTTAAAGAAGGCTTCACCAATGGGATAGCAAGTGGGCAGTTGGGCTCTACTAATATTTTGAATCTCCCAGAGATGTGGAGTTACACACACACACACACACACACACACACACATTTTTATTGCTTAACAAATCAAGGGATAATAAAAATGTTTAAATATAACTAAAAATGATATACGGGATCTGGCATTCCAAGCTCCACCTACACATGGACCCCACAACATGAGTATCACCAGCTCCAAAGCCTGCAGGGCCAGCTCTTGTGGACCTCTCAGACTCAGGAACAAACCCAACCCAGACCAGAACTTCAGCAGTGGGCAGCAATGAGCCCAGAAATGCCTGGAGTCTCAGGGCCCTCTGGCTGCAGGTTCTCAAAACAATAACATTAAATCGCTTTGATTTCCCTAGAAAATGAGCATTAATAAAACACATTCACCAAGTCAACAGCCACATACAAAGAACAAGATCAGATACAGTGCTCAGGAAAGGTTGTTTCCTGGAGAGCATCAGATACAGTGATGAAACTATATGGAATCTGCACTCAACCTCAATAGCCCAGCTGACTATGGCAGAGTCCAAATATTTTAATTCAACAGAAATATGAAAGAAATATCGCTTCCTCAAAATTTCAAAGATGTTTTATTAGTAGTAATCAATTCATTCCCTGGAGAATGTGATTGTTTTCTTATTTCTTGTCTGTCAGGAAAAAGAGACTTTCACAGGCTTCCAACTTAATCCTGCAAACAAGAATATCCCTTACTCCACAGGGCAGGAACAATATGAGCATTGTTCCAGCTGTGGACTCTGTCCATTGCAATTATGCATTCCTGATAATTCAAGATACCAACACATGGCACCACCTTGGGATGAGTAAGAGTCAAATCTCTAGAAAGCATTTCCGTTCTCAAGCTTCCACTCCATGCAGTACAACACAAGGTCTGCTTCTCTTCCCATTTATTCTAAATATAAACTCTAGTTCAGACTCTAAATTTAAACTCCCCAAAGAATGTGAACAGGTGTCCTTTCTTCTAGGGACTGGTATCAGGCAAATGATTACAGGTCTTTGGAAAAAAGCACATGAACCCATCCTGAACATTCCTGTTTGTATGTTGAAGGACGTGTGTGAAAAAGACTTAGAATTCCATGAATCACAGGACTCTGGTTAACCAAATTGACTCAGTGCTAGGAACTGGGTTGACACTTCAAAGGTTAACCTCAGGAATCAGTTTTTCAGCTTTCACTTGCTCTTAGTTTGTAGTATTTCTCAGACACAGAGCCTAATGAAGGGCCATTTTATGAACCCACTCAATAAAGCTGTTGATCTCCCCACTTCCTGTATCTGCCTTTCCAAACATCATCAGTGAGATGCTGCTGCCAATGGTCAGTCTTGGTCCTGCAGGACAGGTGAGCAGCATGGAAGGGACTCATCTGCCTTCCTGCCCACTGCCTTCTCTTGGGTGTTACCCTGCTCATTAATTCCTGTTTTCAGCTTCTTTCAAAATGCCTTTCCCTTCTAACTAGAAAGTATCAAGCAACTTTGAGAATCATTTCTTCAACTAATAATCAGCTATGCTGACTTTGGGAGTGATCTCAGAGTCACCTCACTGAGAACATATTTGCATAGCTCCAGAGATAAATAAGTCTGATTATCCAGATCTAGCTATATCTAAGTGTCTATGAGCATATGTGTATGCACACACACTTCACAGAGGAAAACAGGTTTTCTTCATATGTATAAGGTATATTTTATTCTTATGATACTATATCTGGGGGAGAAGCAAACAGCTTCAATAGTCACTTTGTTCCAATTTGTGTACATAATAATTATGATGTAGTATTTTATTTGTGTTTATGAATAACAAAATAAGTATGGATAGATTTTTAAGTCAGGGATTATTCTTATAAATATAAGAACTTAAGTAAGGAGATATCTCCAATGATTTGCATTTGATAGACTAGTATGTAAAATTTGATACCAACAATAAAATTAACATGAAGTATTTTGAGTTCTGTATATACTATAATCTGATATTGGTAATGATATGATTAAAATCCCTACTATTTTTTCGCTCCTTCTCTCTTTTTTGTTTGGTACCAGGAATCAAATTCAGGACCTTGTGCTTGCCAGGCAGGCACTTGTACCACTGAGTTATATGCCTGGCCCTAATGTCTCTCCTGTTCTGAAGTACTGAACTGTTTTTCTGCCTTCTGGCTGTAATGTGTGGAAATTATCCTTGATTCCATTCTCATCTTTTCTGGAAAATGCTGTGTTTCCCAGGTGGCTCTTGGTGAGGCAGAACATACACTATTTCCATCCAGAGTGGAAGAAGCAGGAGTGGAGCTCAGGAAGAGCTCCTCAGGGGTAAGTATAATCCTTGCCAGGAACCCAAGTTTTCTCTGTTTTTTAAAAAGGTGCCAAATTTCTGTAGCAACTCCCACTCCACAGAACACCACATATGGTTGTTTGCGTATCTCTTTGTCCTCTTTCCAGAGCTCATGTATGTCACTTGGAAGGAGAAAAGCAAGAAAGGTTGTTATCATTTGTTGTTAAATGGCCTGCAAGTGCCTTTACTAAAGGCTGTGGAAGTATTGAGAGGTATGGAACCATTATGGGATGGGGTCTAGAGGAAGGCAGTTAGGTCACTGGGGAAGGCTCTCAAAGGGGATATTGGGACCTTATTCCATGATCCACTCTTTGCTTCTAGTTATTATGAGTGATTAGTTTTGCTCTACCACATGCTCCCTGGCAAAATGTTCTGTCTTGCTGCAAGTGGCACACAGTAAAGCCAAGTTCTGAGACCATAGGCCAAATTAAGCCTTTCCTCCATTTAAAAGTTGATTATAGCAGATACTTTGAGACAGTAACAGAAAGCTGACTCACACAGGAATCTTCCTGCCTCTATTCCGATGGTATGTCTGTGCTTTTATTCTATGGACCTTTTCTCTTGAAATTTTCTTATTTGTTTGCTCACTACTGATTGAAGGAAATGAAGATGGTATCACCTTGTTGCAGTGCATACCTCTGTCTTTTTCTGCCAACTCTAAGGCTGATGATACATATTGGCTGTTTTCATAGTTGCTGCTGAATTTCTCCATTGGCACCTTGTTTACTTTTTAGCTATTGAAGAATAATTGTGTTGCGCTTCTTTTTTCCATCAGCTCAGGCAATATCGCATACTTCACTTGCCTCGGTGCCTGTAGAGAGGATTATGAAGCTGATACAGCTAGGTGTTGAGGGAAGGAAGACACAGTTTGGAGGTATTCAGGTGGCTGGAGGAAACAGCCATCTTGTATAAGGGAGAGAGGCAGAGAAGCAGGAGGATCCTGCTCTGCAGGTGAAGTTGTTCATCTCAGTGTGTGCTTCACTGGGCCACAGATAGATTTGTAACTTTTCACATGCACAGAAATGACTGTTCTAAATCTTTCTGAATACTTACATTAATACTATAGAGTATGTATTTGAAAACATTTCTAAATAATGACTTAGAAGTTATGCAAATATTAATCATGTCCTTGCCACATAATAAATGTTTAATAAGTGAAAAATATGAATTAATAAAGTAAGAAAAAGGGAGATTTGTCTTCATAAAACTTTTTAAATGTGAGCATGAGAGCATATGGGTGTGCCTGAGTGTCTCTGTAAAAATGATAAATACATATTATGTCAGTACTGAATAATGATCTCCATGAGATTAATAGTTACCTCATAATTTCTGTAAAGAAATTTGTATAACATGCATAGGTCCCTGTACAGATTGAATTTTGAAGGGTTTAAAGAATATTGGTGCTTAGTTTGTCATAAGACCCTGTATCACTTTAAATGTTCTTGCTTTGATTTGTTTATGTTCATGATACTGGGATGCTGCTACTGTTCTATTTGTTTGTTTGTTTGTTTCTCATTTACTACTCTTTTTAAAATATAAAAAGAAATTCCAAGTGTTAGTTTAGATTTTGTTGTTCTGTATATGAGTTGGAAGTTATAATGTTATTTGCCCTAATCTCAAGTACTCAGATTAAAATACACAGTGAAGTCAAGATGTGAACAAGGATGTAAATAAACACATTTTTGTTTTTGTTTTATGTTTCCTTCATCACTAATTACAGTGATCTCCAGCCTCCTGTGTGTGAGACACACAGTTCTTGGATGAAACTCAGCTGATATGTCAGGAAAATGCAAGGTTTTCATGAAGACTGTGATGAACAAACTCATTGGCAAATGTTGATTTTTTTTGGTGTGGTACTCTAGATAGGAGTTTTCATTTAACAGAAGTATGAGTAGAATTTTTAAAATTTAGATACATATAAAATTTAAATTAATGCATTAATACATCTTTAACAGTGATATTGCACATTGAGCCAGTCGCTTAGCAATAATGAGTCATGTGACATTGAGCATATTTGCTATCATTTTTACTGTTGAGTTCCTAATGGGAAATTTAGGAAATGGATTCATAATCCTGGTGAACAGCATGGACCTAATCAAGAGAAGAAAGATCTCTGTAGCTGATCACCTGCTCACTGCTTTGGCAATCTCCAGGACTGGTCTGCTCTGGTTATTATTCACAAGATGGTGGACGTATGTGTTTTATCCAACTTTCTGGATGAATACAATAAAGGTAAAAGTCATATACATTATTTGGATTGTGACTTGTCATTTTAGCATGTGGCTTGCCACATGCCTCAGCATCTTTTATTGTCTCAAGGTAGCCAATTTTTCCAATTGTATTTTTCTTTATTTTAAGTGGAGAGTTAAAAAGGTAGTTTCATTAACATTGCTGGTGTCTCTTGTTTTCTTGTTTTTACAACTTTTTCAGTCAAATAGACACATGGATGTCCTTCTTGATGAGAGTAAAAGAAACATATCTTACAGCTCCAGTTTATGTGACTTTCCTGAACTTTCAAAACTTCTTTTATTCAGCAGCACTTTGTTCACATTCACAGCCTTTGCTCTGTCTCTGACAACTTTTCTCCTCCTCATCTTCTCCCTGTGGAAACATCTGAAGAGGATGAAGCACAGTGTCAGAGGGTCCGGAGATGCTGGCACCACAGTCCACATAAAGGCCTTGCCATCTGTGGTTGTCTTTCTCCTACTGTACACAATTTTCTTTCTGTCGATTTTTATACAGTTTTGGAGATTTGAGTTTCCAAGCATTCTCCATTTTCTCTTTAGTCAGATTGCTGAAATTTCTTTTCCTTCAGTCCACTCATTTGTCCTACTCCTGGCAAACAGTAAGCTGAAACAGGCTTATCTTCTAATGTTGAGGTGGCTGAGGTGTTGGTCCAAAGATGTTAATTCTTCAAGTGTATAGATCATTTGGGAATCCCGTGGCATATTCAAAGTTCACAGAACATTCTTGCTTTTATAATTTTGTACTTCACAAATATTCTACTGTATACAATTTTGTAAATTTTACAAATGTATGTTTGGTGTAATCACTATCAAAACATTATTATCGTAACTGTACAAATACAGGTATGTACATATTAATATATTTCTACATGGTAGTGTGTCAGTGCACACCATGTAAGTGTAAGAAAACTTCATCATAACAAAAAAGAATGTTAATATTTTTCAATTGTTAATCTTAACATTTTCAGTCATGAAACCTATAATGTGTAATATATGTGTGCATGTGAGCCAGTCCCTAGGAAACAGAACTTTATAATTTTATATACATAAAATGTTTTCAATATATGGGTTCAAAATATAGCATAAAAATTAAGAATAAAATACAGATAGTTTGAAATCAAATATACCAAAGCTGTTATCTTTACACAAAATATACCAATCTGTTATATTTGAATTTAAAAAATTCCTCAGAATCATTAGACCATTTTATTCCAATCTCCTATTTATTTCATTAGTTTTAATTTAAGAATTCTTATAATGTTACAATTAGGAATTTATACTTTGTGTTAGGAAATACTTTGTATTCTCTCATGTAGGTGTATATGTATATCACAGTTTATTTTAATTTTAATGCATAGGAATATTTAGCATCATTATGATAGTCTTTTGATTGAACATTAAATGGAAATGGAGGGTTTTTATACTTTCTCTCATCATTAAACTGCATATTACCCAGGTGGAAAACAAGCAGGTGGTCATAGGAACAGAATATTAGAGTAACTTATGAATGGGCAATAGTCAAGGTAAAGCTTGTTGTGTTTCTATATTTCCTGTACTGATTGTATGGCAGAAGAGGAAGATAAATATAATGAAGTGAATTTATGAAATGAGCGACATTTATAATGAAAGAGGTTTAGAGGTATGATAAAGGGAGGAAAACATGGGTCTATGTCCTGTGTCCAGTGATGATAAATCTTCAACTACATACAGTTTACTTTATGGTTATGAATGAAAAGTTCTTCAGGTTTATTTTTACAAAGAAACTCCTTCAAACTGTTAGGATTGAATTTGGAGTAGATTTTTTTTCTAGTGTAGTTCATTAATTCACTTATTTGTTGAAAACATTTGAACATTTTTTCTGAAGGTCATTTTGTAATATTTTATTGAGAAATATTTTCTCTGTAAAATAAAAAGTGGACATTTGTTATTTAGTCATTAAAAGAGGATGTTGTAACATTTGCTAGCAGGTCAGCCCTTTATCTCAGATCTTTTAGTACTTACATACGTGTAGTAATATTTTCCATGTGAAAAGACTGAGGCTCCACAGTGTTAAATACTTACCTAGCAGTGCATGCAGCTGTCAGCAGTGAGCTTTAGTAATACATAGCCCCTGCAGACAGAGGTTCTGCCCTAAATGCACATGAAATATCAATAGGAAGAGACTACTCATAGCTATACTAAAAGCCTGGTTTAAAAAATATAACAGACTTTTGAATATTGATTCTTAAGCTTAAGCATTTTTAAATTTTTTATAGTATTTGTGACAATGTACACAATGGCCAATGTGTACAAGAAATATATAGTAATTATATTCCTTTAACTTTATAGTGAAAGGAGAGCATGATGTCTTACTAAGCTATTAAGTGTGCCTTGTGTTTTAAGTTCACTCTCTTGCCTGTTGCAGGTAGAAAATATTATTACAGGCAGGTAAACTATGCATAAATATTATAGGTAGTGAGATAGGGCTGGACCTTTAAGAGAGCCAGGACAAAGGCAAAACACATCTCAACTGTGGCCAGAGACACATCTGCTGGAGACCTGGTTTCAAGATATAAAGACAAAATGACCAGGTCCATACAGTTCCTCAAAGGACAAACACTAGGCCTGATGAAACCTTGATAGACATCAGTCACCATAGTAGGTGACCAAGCCCTGCTGACCCATAATTTCCTAGACAAAGTCTTTGTTCTTCCCATACACCCTTATTACATGACTTGTTTCCCCATTGGATCTTTACTATCTAAGTGAATATACTTGTACCTTTATTGGTTGATCATAGCTGTAGCTCACATCATGCCAGTGTGGGTATCGTACTATAAAATTTCCACATAACATAGGGTTTTCGGCAATCTATTCAAGTCTTCTCCTGCCTCGCAGGAACTATATCTCTCCCTCTCAATAAATATCTTCTTACTCTTAACTTGTTTCTACCGGTTATCCTTCAATTTTTAGAGAACAGGAATTCAGCATATCAGACATCTAACAGGCTGAGATTTATAATATTTCCCTTATATTATATTTGGAGGTTCTAGTATCATCTCTGTAATGATATTATCTGCATTTGGTTATTTATAAGGATTACTATACTTCTCCTTGTATATAATTCTCTTCTACTGCTGGCACCATAATGGAATGCTGGAATAATGAAAATGTTAATTAATTGTAGTGATACTGGCCTCCCATTTGTATGTAGTTTGCTAGTATTTCACCAGGAAGCATTGGTCTGATTTTATCTTGACATTAATTCTTTCACAGTTAACTTCAGAGACAATATTTCTCTTCTCTTTTCTGATGAAACTTTTTCAAAAGAGTACCTACTGTGTATTGTTACTCCTGAAAATAATTACATATTTCCTCTTCTCAATTAAAAGAATATGTTAATAGTCATGCACTTAATAATGAGCTGTTATCAAGCTGTGTGTCCTATATTGAATGAAATCACTGGTAAGTAATCACATTGATGTATTAATATGAGAAATTTGAAATCATCAGAGGCAAAGTGAAATTCAAAATATACCCACAGAGTAATAATGGGTAATCTTTGAAACAGGAAAAGTCTATTCCAATTATATGAAAAATGTTTTTAAAAGCTCATGTGGTAGAAGGTGATTGATTCATACTTTGAAAGTGCTGAGGAATGCAAGTATAATTAGTATAATTGCATATTTATGGAACAAAATTTGTCCTCTCACATTAAATTAATGAATATGTTTTATTACATAAAAAGTTTGGCACTATGTCCTCTACACACTTCATCCCTGAAAATACTGCTCATGGACCTACTTACAAAGACTATTAAAGACTGAATCATTTGGTTCAAAAGCCAAATGTTTAAGCCCTAACCCCAAAGGAGACTATATTTGGAGACAGAGCACTTATGGATATTCTTAATGTTAAAAGGAGTTCTAAGTGGAGGCACTAGTGCAGTAAGCCTTTTGTCTTCAGGAGGAGTAAAAGCCTACAGGTACAAAGGAAATCGTGTGAACTCACAGAGAACAGGGCCTGTGAGAAGGTGGCTTTCCACACACAAGCAAGAGGGGCCTCTCCAGAATCCAATCCTGTTGGAGCCTGGACCTTGGACTTTCACTCTAGATTTGTGAGGAAATACATTTTTGTGCTTAAACACTCAGACTGTGGTATTTGGTATACAAGCTTGTGCACATTAATAAAATAGAGATTTTTAAGAAAGAAATATTTAGGAAATGAAATGTTCAATATGCTGAAAACATAATCATTGATTTCAAATAAATTGTTTATAGTGCAATTTTTGTTGAAAACAAACTTTTTCCCCAAGATTTTACATGAAATGTACTATACACTCAGAGATATTATATTTTCTTGTACACAAGTCCGTCTTGAATAAAGGTGTTTATTCAACTAAATTACCTGCATGTATTGCCAATGGTGATCAGTGCACAGAGATTTCAAAACGCAACAAGCCATCTGATAAGATTGAAAGGAGACAGTGATGCAACTGAAATGTACTAGAAATAGAAGTGTCACATACTGTGTCTTAATAAGTATATGTTGCATAGAATAGCAAGAAAAGTGTGTTACAAATAGCTTTGAAAAAATAATAGCAAACATCTTTACAGGTGATAGGCAGGCTGCACTCACATGTCGCTCTGGACTATTCATTCATCCAAAACACCACAAGTAGACAGGGTCAGAGCCCCCCACTTTTATCTTTAGAGAACAAGCAGGAGAAGGACAAGGGAAGAAGTGGGATGGGATGCACTGTTGAGTAACTTCTTCTCCCTAGGCATAGGAAATCCCTTAATTTTCTGTGCTACTGAGAGGAAGTGGACACCCAACCTAATATCTAAAGCTGGGAAAACAGGTGACTGCGACATGGTAAAATTAAATTCGTAGGATAGGGGCAAAGACATCAGCCTCCACTATGTGCAAGATTTAACTCTGGTTGGGGAGAATATTGGTGGGTTAGAAAAATAGCGCAAAATTATACTGGTTTAAATAGAGGAGAAGCTAAATTCAGCCTTGTGGGGACTTTTGGAGGGAAGGTGTCTGAGGCTGAGTGTTCTTTCAAGGAATAGGGCAAGAGGTACCCATGTTCTCTAATACTGTGTACACCTTAAGCCACTCCCATCTGATGAGAGGTATTCAGAGTGAATACAGCAGTGCATTGACATTGTCCAACTATTCCTCCAAAGGGCAGTTCACAAACTCATAGAGCTTTGATCCACACTCTGAACCTATACACGGACCATGCCAGTGACATATTTGTGGCCATTGCAAAGTTTCTAACCCGTGTTTCCCAGGTACAGAAGACCTTAAGCTGGAAGGAGAGATCCAGTCTGAGATTGGCAGACTTACTTCACTACCACCCATGACCACAAAGAGTCAGAGCTCAGTGTCCTGCCTACACTTATCACAGCAGGATAGAGGTGGAGAACTCTGGGTTGAAAAAATAAGAGTTTGTTGTAATCCTCCTTTTATCAAGTAGCATCCAACAATTGACTCCAGTATAAATAACACCATAAGGAACAATGCTGTACCATATTTTTTGTGGGGAGGTAGTTCTTTTTGTATTTGTCTTCGGGCTATGTGTGCATGTCAGTGTTCATAAGTGTTAGTTATTACTTGTGCCTGTATAGTGTCTTACAATGTTACTCCAGGTTCTTCCTCAACGTAGGTTGTTTCATAGGATTTGCTAAACTT